AAAAAGGAAAGGGCCCCAAAGTTATTGTGAGAGGGACTGATTTCACAATCAGAGTTTCTCAGCTTGGGCTGTCCCTTTGGAAGGTAAAGGCAGTTTTCCTTTGATCTTACTGCGGTTACTTTGTGTTGTGGTATGATAACGCATGTAGTTTTTGATCTCGTAATGGATTTGGTCCCGATAGCTGTTTTGGGTGTGTCACTTATCAACATATGCATTTCTCTTTGTCTCTTTATTCGCCTCGCATGTTTTTCACGTCTCTAAGATATCGAATATCTAGATATCTTTATCAGTCTTGAACCTACTCCGATATCAAGGGTTCCGGCTCTCTAATCAGAAGCATATACATACCTACACCAACACACAGATGGAAGTGGTCCATTTTGAAGTGGAGCTTAGTAGGCGACTCAAATGTGATTTACACGTGACTCAGCTTGAGCCAGGCTCACTCAGTTGTGTTAAACATATGGAAACATTGTATAGCCTCAAGGGTGCTGAACAACGTAATTGTTACCGCCAGCTCTTCTAGTTCCATCCCCTTCAGATATAACTCCTTTACCATCTGTGTTGTATACAGAAAGCGAGATGCGCGATCTATCAAGTCCAATAATTTGCCAAATCCAGTCAATGTGAAGCTGAACTGTGACTCGATTGACACATCAATCTTTATCTCCACATCAGCCCCCAGAAGAATGACTCCCGATGGTAAGGCACTTGTTTCTCAATGTGCCTTATCCTCACATATTTAGCGTGAGGGCCCAAGAAAGAAAACAATGAAGTATGACCACAAATCACTTGATTGGCGAGGCTTATGTTGTGTCAAAGTGTAGTTCAACACATTTGATGAGTGTATTAATGTTCTGAATAGGCAACTTACGCATAATTGAACTACGTCGATTGAGAGTACATTCCTATACGTCATAAAAGAAAACAAACAAAGAAGCAACGAAAAAAACAATATGTGTAACAGTAGACTAATTGATGAAAAAGTAAAAAAAGATCTGAAGTGAGTGATAGAGGTGCTCAAGTAGAATGATGATCAAGTTGAGATAATAAACTAAAAAGGAAATGAAGATGAGAAGACAAGTGAGAAGAGTATTGAGGATGAGGCCGGAGTATCGACTGAAATGAAAAGGACTTATCAAAAAGGCAAACATCAAGAATAATAGGGTATTTGTTGTCCGAGAACACAAGTGAATCTTTTGATGCACATGTTGCAGACCATTGACTTGACAATAAGATTTTTGTCAATCAATTACACATGGAAAGATGTCTTTGAGAGAAACTCTAAATCAAACTGAACATACACGCAGAAAAGCAATAGAGGACTTTTCATGGATGCGAAGGGCTATTCGCCCACTGAAAACCATTCACTCAGACGGGTATAAATCTGGGCCCCAAAGTAGGCCATAGGGTTGATCCATCATTGACACTTCAATCCACTTTCACTTTGCTCCATCACAAGTCTGAAGTTCCTTGTTAACCGCTCAACAGCGACCCTTGCAAGCGGTGAAACTTATTCCTCATCATATCTATCAAATCTGCTCTCTCGAACCACAAGACACGTATGTGTAGTCCTTTTGGTTGTCCCAGGTTTTCACCATCTTTAGATCTGAAAAGATTTATTCTTTCTCAAAAGCAGGTAACCTTGATGCGGACCAAAGAAATTTGTTTTGATCTTGAATCAGTTTTCAAATCCTTTGGGGTGCTGCATGAAAATTAGTTTTCTTCGAGAATGACCCTCTATGAATTTGATCAAGAGCAAAGTGATTCTAATGCATGTTCATTAACACAGCATACACCATGTCGGTATCCTTGTAGCACGTCAATGTGCACACACAGAGAGTTTTGAAAAAAAAAACAGAAAGCTGTTTGGTAGGCTTTAGACTGAGATTGGTGCCAAGCACCCTTTGTGAATGAAAATTTGACAAAAGAATTTGTGGGATCCTTTGTCAGCAGTTGGGGTCAACTGAGTGCCAACGTCCCAGTTGACAAAGGGAAGACATGCCTATTGTGGAGACCTCTTTAATGGGTCTTTCAAGTATGTATTGAAAGTATTTGGTGTGTGCATGTCGACGTGCTACACGGATACGGACACAGTGATATGTCTTGCACCAGGTCATGAACCCTATGTCAAGACTTTGCGGCAATGAACTATGGCTTCGCCTATGGGACTTATTAAAGCAGAAGATTTTGTAGGCAGCAAACCCGGTAAAGCTCAAGAACAATACACTCGCTACCTTTGTCGAAGCAATGCTAGGTGTGATATATGTACATTGATTCTCAATGTTGAGCGGATGGGCTTACTAAATCACATCTTCACCACGTACTTCAAGTCCTTGGAATGCTTGAGGAAGAAATTTCAAACTGTCAAGAAGAAGTCTTGCTGATGATACTATTCAAATCGCTTATAGCCAAAATGTTTTGTGGTGCATCACATCATTTCGAGTTTTATCATTACTTTTTCACGGTTTCAATCTCTTCCTTGAACAGTCCCAGGAGGATGTGGTGGAAAC